TGTCTGTAGAAACAAAATAAAATGTGTGAGCCCAAGGTCTCCTGCACTCAGCCAGGGCTTGGGAGAGGAAAGTGGTATAACTGGTCTAGCTTTGTCGCACCAGGATATACAGCAGGGGAGGCTGTGGACAGCTTGATAGAAAAAACAGAGACAGAAAATCGGGTGATGAAAGTGATCCCGGAGGGGGGAAACAGTGAGTGCAGCATGGTTGGAGCCCAGGATCCCCCAGGGTCCCCCCCAGGCTTCCAGAGCCCCAAGGCCAGCTCTGGCTCAGCGCCTCCACCCTGTGCCGGCTGCCTGTTGGTGTCTAAGAGCTGCAGCAGCTCCGATCTGGGGCTGCATGGCCACAAAGTCCTGTTGGGCCAAAGCAAGTTTTACAGAAAAAATGAAATGATGAATTTTAACTGATTGGTATTTTTGTTTTTAACTGGGGATCGAACTCGTGACCTCATCTTTATAGGCAGGGGCTTGTGCCACTGAGCTAAACCCCCAGTCCGCTGATCGGTGAAGGTATTCTTTTGGTTTCCAGTTTAAGTTGATGTGCCTAAAACGTTTCTCGTGCCTTGCAAATTCTTCAATTGCAGTTACAGGGTTAACTTGCTCTTTGCCCTCTGTTGGTTTGAGATAAGAACATTGGTTGGTTGGTCAAGTTTATTACCTGAGGGAAAGGAGACACTTCAAAATTCCAGCAAAATTCCAGTCAAATTTATTATAACACAATAAAAGAGACAAAACTAAGAAAGTTATAAATATAAGAGTATAAATACTTTTGATATGAGGTGATATGTAAAAGTCTTGTTGTGCTAAACAGATACAAAATGAGAGGAAGCCAAGACTAAAAAGCTTATATACACTGAAGAAAGTTTACGGAAGGAGCTTATTAAAGCATGCATGTGATTTCCTTGTTAATTTAGGGGAGCTCAGGTTGTTCCTTCTAAAAACTCCTGCTTTGGGCAAGGAAAAAGATCAAATTGACATTTTAAAAAAGTGCTTAAGAAACTGGTCTGCACCACAACAGAGTAGATACAGGAATAAAACTTAAAAACCACCCCTTTAAAATGTATGCTGGCTAACTTTAAGAGAGGCTATATAGGAAACTGAAATACAGCTGATTTCCACCCCCAGAGGTTAAGAACCCCAGAAGTAAAAATACATCGGCCCCCTTTGATGGTAAATGGCCTCCTGGAGAGGGGAGGATTCACAGAAAAACAGCTGATGGTGAAGGGGTGCAGATGACCACCAGGACAGCAGGGTCCGTTTCCCTGCACTGACTAAACATAGCTCAGAATAGACGCTCATGCTCCAGCCCTGTCTGTCTGCTTACTGATAGAAGCCAGAGAGGCTGTCCTGGCAGGAATGCGACCCAGGTTTCAGAGGTGACCAGGAGGACAGACAGAACGCCGATAGGAGACTCACAGAAAAAGGGAAAATCACTGAGACACAAAGACAAGGATACTGACCAAAAAGAGTCAAAGCAAGCCAGCATCTGCTCCCAGATGGCGATCCTGGAGCTGTCATCTGCGGCCAGGGCCAGAACGCACAGCACAACAGGAACAGACCGAACAGGGGCTCCCGGCAGCAACATTTGGCAGTGGAGATAAAAAACTGGCTCCCTGAGGCTGGAGAACTTTCACACAGGAGCCTGCAGAGGGAGCCGTGTGCAGATGCCGTCTGCACACTCCTTCGTCCGACTCTGTGGCTGGCCGACCGTCCTAAACCAATCTTGATGGAACAAAGGCCGTGAGGCAGGGCCAAACCTGGGTTTATTAATTTATGGAGCAGGGAGTGGCTGGAGGATGGGTGACTGGGAGAGCAGGCAAGGAAGCCTGAGGTCACCTCTGCAGTATGCAGAAACAGTAATCCGAACAACGCAATCTGACATAGCATCTAACGTTCTGGGGTAGGTGCTTCAGCTCTGAGATGTAACCTTTTATGCCCTATAGCCTGCCTGCTCACACATGGTCTCTGGGAGGCATTGTGGGCAGAAGTGACAGGCAGGACAGCAGATGACAGTGCTCATGAAGAGGCTGAACGGGCATCGAAAGGCCAGCGAGACTCGGAGGCCACGGCCACTCGTGGAGGAGGAGGTGACACGGCAGAAGAGCTTGACACAGGTCAAAGCCAAAACCAAAACCAAAGCCACTACATTCAGGTAAACCAGCAAAGTGGGGAGAAAGGAACTCCTCCCCTGCAAAGCTGACCAGGCAAAGGCACTTAGACAAATCAAAGGGCCTCAGACCCAGGCCATAAGACCTCGCTGATGCCGGAGGCTAAGGAGCCGACTGACCTTTCAGATGCCACCCTCAGCTATGACCCTGAAGGGCCCCAGAAGATGCCATTACTTCTCACGTCTGAGGGTGGACTGATATCAAGGGCTCTTTGGCTGGCAAAGGACAAAAAGATTAACATCTGTACTGACCCGAATATAGACAGGCAGGCTCCTGATGCTCACAGGAAAAGGGATAAATTATAAAAAGTTTCACAGCTCCTAGATGCTGGAAGGGCCCCTAGGGAAGCGGTCACTGTGTACTACAGGGCGCCCCGGAGAACTGGAACAGTAGAAAAAGAGGAAAACAAAGGGGGCCCTGGCGATGCCCCTCATCACAGAGCCACCCTTCCCAGAGACCCCAAATTGCTCTTCTAATAAAAAAGCCTGCTTTGGCCAAGAAGTTAAAAAATATATATGGGGGAAGGATAATAAAAGTTTCCTGATGGGAGGCAAATCATTCCCGAAGCGCTGGGACCAGGCTCATGAAACAATTCTATTGGGGTTGCAGATGGGAAAGACAGAACTGGAAGCATTCCTAGAGTGCTGTTTCTGTGTGCCCCGAGGCACTGCAATGGCTCAGGCTGTTTGTAAACAGTGCTTGACCTGTGTGCAAAACGAAGACAAGGGCTCACCCAGCCCCCTGGCACCGGGGAAACAGGAGCTGCCCAAGGTAAGGAGCCGCCGTGGGCTTCACTAAACTGCCCTGAGCCCATGGCTGCTGATGTGTGTGAGTGGAACCTTCCCCCTCGAACAGGAAAGGCATGAAAGGTGACCAAGGTGAGGTCAAGAGACATCGTCCTAGGATTTGTAGCCAAGATATTCCAGGAGCTCACCTGGGGGTAAGATACAATAATCAAAGTAAAATAAAAGCTTTGCATGGTTTACTGGCCAAAGAGCTCAAGAACAATGGAGCCCACAAATCAGACACTCAAACAACTGTTTAAAGATACTGTTAAGAAACTCATCAGAAAAATACCATCAACATACCTTATAGAACTCGAGAAATCACTCCTAAAATTCATCTGGAGTGAGAAGAGACCTAGAATAGCAAGGACAGTTCTAAGCAGCAAAGGCAAGGCAGGAGGTATCACAATCCCTGACTTGAAATTATACTGCAAAGCAACCATAGTAAAATCAGCATGGTGCTGGAACCAAAACAGAGCTGAAGATCAGTGAAATCGATTAGAAGATACAACCACAACTACAAACACACTCAACTACCTTATCTTCAATAAAGGGGCCAAACATGTTCACTAGGTGAATGACAGTCTCTTTAATAAATGGTGTTGGAAAAACTGGTTCTCCATATGTCGAAAACTAAAACTAGACCCATGCCTATCACCATGTACTAAAATAAAATCTAAATGGATCAAAGATCTAAATATTAAAACAGAAACACTAAATCTATTGGAAGACAAATTGGGTAAAAATCTTGAAGACATAGGAGTAGGTAGAGAAGTCATGAACAGGACTCAAACCTCATGGAAAATACTTCCCAGAATCAATAACTGGGATCACCTCTTATTAAAAAGTTTCTGCATGTCAAAAGAAGTCTGCAGCATGGTGAGAAGAAAACCCACAAACTGGGAAAAAATCTTAGTGAACTGCCCCTCAGACAAAGGACTTCTGTCTACAACATATAAAGAATTTTAAAAAATCAGAACCCCAAAATTCAAAGACCCCATCCAAAAATGGGCATCTGAGATGAATAAACAATTCTTAGATGAAGAAATACAAATGGCAAATAAATATATGAAAAAATGTTCATCATCATTGGTCATTAGAGAAATGCAAATCAAAACCACACTGAGATTCCATCTCACTCCTGAAAGAATGGTCAGGATCAAGAAAACCAACAACAACAAATGCTGGAGAGGTTGTGGGGAAAAAGGAACTCTCCTGCACTGTTGGTGGGAGTGTAGACTGGTGCAACCATTGTGGAGGTCAGTCTGGAGATTTCTCAAAAAACTGGGACTCAAAGTCCAATTTGACCGAGCTATACCACTTCTAGGCATATTCCCAGAAGAACTGAAAGCATCATAGCACAGTGATATATGTGCACCCATGTTTATAGCAGCACAATTTGTAATAGCCAGATCTTGGAAACAACCTAGTGTCCATGGGCAGAATGGATAAAAAAGTTGTGGTATTTTTATACAATGGAGTATTACTCAGCTATAAAGAATGACCACATTGAGACATTTATAAATAAATGGACGCAGCTTGAGACCATACTCATAAGTGAAATAAACCAAACTCACATGTATAAATACCAAATAGTTTCCCTAGTGTAAGAAATGATAAGAATACATTAAAATATGTGGTAATCATGATTCCCAATCATATTTGCTTGAAGTCATATAATGTTTTCACTCATTAACCACAATGGTTTTAACCTGGGTTGTTCGATTTTAGTATCTATGATAGCACAAATAGCTATTTTGAAGAAAGCTAGTGCTGATTTAATATCATCTTGTTTTGAGGTCCCATCAAGCTGTAGTACATCTGTTTCCACTGGTTTTAACATGTTGTGTCTTACTATATTTCACTATATGCTATAGTATAAACAAAATTCTTTATAGGCAAAGAGATATCATAGAAACCATTGTTCATTTTCTATTAGCAGCTTCTAAATACCCTGTAATTCTTGCATTCTCTTAAAGGCTTCACACTGTCTAGATATGCTTGATATTATGACCGGCGCAGCCCCCCAATGAGACAGAGGACGCTCTTACTGATAACAGGAACTGCTGCTTTATTGCCACGGGCTCTGGCTTATATATTCGGGCGTGACAATCACAGGCTGCCACGAGGAGGCAGGGTTGGGATGGGACATGGTGCACTGCGGAAGCTGACGTGGTCCTTTGTCCCGGGTGGGGTATGGTATGTTGAGCGCCTGTGCCCAACAATATTATAGCACACAAAGTTACACTCAAATAATTTAAGGAAAGAGGCACTATGGTGACTACTATTATGTTAGATTATCTGGTGGTGAAACACAGTGATGCTTGAATTGCTCAGTTCTGCCCTGCGTAGTTCTATTACAATGTCCTCTCTTATCTCAATCTCCCCCCTTTTTAAAATTAATCTATTTTCTCTCATTTTTTAATTAAGGGAAAACTAAATTAAAAATAACGGGACATATTATAGTAACTTTTTTGTAGTCTTATTAACCTGACTTGAACCCCAGTATTGCTCTCCTCATCTTGTTCTGTCTGATTATTATATATTCTATTTTGTTTGATAGTATCAAGTTTCAGGGTATAGGCAATCTCTTTGAAGGCAATAAGATATACTATGATGCCCAATATGGATTGACTATCATCCTTTTTTTTTGAAGTCCTATAAGGTCCTCAGTGTAGATTTTATTGGTTTTGTTCCATATTGTTTTGATCAATTCTATTATACCTGATGATATAGACAACTCAATTTAAAAATAGCAAGAGGCACAATGGTAACCACTTTTGATCACCTGGAATTCTATTTTTGCATCATGTGCTATGCCCACCCTTCTGTTCTAACTGACTCTGTTTTGCTTAGTCACATTTGGTTTTATTCTCTCCAAAAAAGTAATAAGAACCGTGAGAGTAATAAAACCCTAAAAGTCTAATTGTTACTGTAAAAAAGAGAGGAAAGTAAGGTGGACTAAGGGATATAACAGCAGGTATTTTCGAGTGTGTAGGATGGAAAACCATATAACTGAGCTTTTGTTGGATCATTGAACGGAACTGTCTCCAATTTCACTGTATGAATGTCTACTTTATATGCTTTAATTTAGTGATATGGACAACTGTTTCTGGGAAGATAATATGTAACCTATTAACTGGTGATTTCGTACTGTATATATTTTTTTCTTGAAATACTGTATTATTTGTACCCTTTTACTACAATGTTTTTTTTTATGTCCTTTCTTTTTTTTTTTTTCTTCTCTTTTTAAAGAAAAAAAAAGAAAGAAACTCATCAGGATGAGTCCAAGTCCTGCTCATTCCTCTTCTGAGTCTGACACATGCCCTCCAGAGTATTCCCCTTACAAAATCCAGTTCAGCGGGCATCCCTCAAACATAGGTAAACTAAGGGTGATCTCTGTCAATTAGAAAAGGATAGATACACTTAAAAATAGCTTTGTAAGACATCTGTAACTGTACAAGGAAATAAACACTCGTAAGCCTGCAGACCCAATATACCCATTCCAACCTGGGGACTTTGTTTTGATTAAAAAGATAGAAATAAAAGAACTCGTGTGGGGTGGGCCCCAGACTGTAATCTGGACCACCCCCACTGCTACTAGAGACAGCACCTCTGCCAGGTCACTCGAGAAGCTGACTGGCCTACCCATGGCTGAAGCTTGAGAATCAGCAGAGAGACACAATAACACTAATGGACTGATTCTCCCTCTACCCAGTAGGAAGCCAGCCCACTTACCCGTCGTGACACTGATGCTCTCTGTTAAAATTTACAGACAGCATGGAAGGGAAGAGTTAAGTAGGATTTAAAGATCAAGCCTCCTTGAGCCCTTCCCCTTTAGCTATAATATCTTGTTCTGGTGCAGATAAAATTGGCAACTATGGGCAGGCACTGTGGTGCAGGCCTGTAATCCCAGCACGTGAGAGGCTAAGGCAGGAAGATCCCTGAGAGTCTGAGAGTTCAAGGTCAGCCTGAACTGGATAGTGACACCTTGTCTCAAAAAGACAAAATCAATCAATAAATAAATAAAAATGAGAAAAAAAGCTGGCATCTATGTCCTGTAAGCAGAATTTATGTTATCTTGTTCTCACAGGACTCGTAAGGCTCTGTCTTCTTATAAGGCTAAGTTATTGCTATAGTTTATGGCTAGATGTCTCCCAAAACCTCATGTTTTTCAGAGGTAGCTAATGGAATCTAGAGTTTGCGATTGATTCACAGTGGAGTGCTGGGATTAACTAAGAGGGATTGCTGGATCAGGCTACCAACTGGATTGGCACTGCCCTAGTCCCAGCAGTCTGGAGAAGATATAAGAGGCTTGTTTTCCCCTTTTTTGTTCTTGATGTTTTCACTGTCTTCTGCCACCAAGAACTGATGCCCCTCTGCCATGTGCCAGCCAAATATGGACTGAAATCTCTACAAATTGTGGACTGAATAAACCTTTTCTTCCTTAACTTTGAGCATCAGGTATTTTGTCACAGTAATGAGAAAAGTAACAAAGACAGTTATTAATTGCTCTGTCTTGCTTCTGTACCCTCACTATTCCCTCTACCAGTTTCTAAAGATCACCCCGCTGAGCCAAAGGTACAAAACTAGAAACTTCCCTTTGTTCAAATGCCCAGCACACTTGGAATGTGAGTTTGGCTAGGTCAATGTGCATCTAAAATCCTGGACATAATACTTGTTCCCCATGGGTCACTCTGATTTCTTGGGTTCTCCAGCACCGGGCGAGTCAGTGCTGTCTCCTCTGGGGCACGCAGTTGAAAGGTAGGGCTGGTCTCCGACGTCCTCTGCTTGTGCTGCTTGTCCTGTGGCTGATTTTTTTCTCTGTCTTTTTTTGAGACAAGGTATCGCTATGCAGTTCAGGCTGGCCTTGAGTTCACTTTTAACCCAAGATGATCTTGAACTCATAAAGATCCTCCTGCCTCAGCCTCCTGAGTGCTGGGATTACAGGCGTGCACCACCACGCCCGGCCTCTGGTTGATTCTAATCCTTATTGCTTTACCATGATTCACAGTGTCCAGGAGTAGACAGTGTTCTTGAGCTCAGTGGATATGCTGCCCACTCACCTCCCCTACCCCCTGGGAGATAAAGGCACAGCTTGAGGTCTGGTGGGACTAGGTGGCTGGTCCCTTTGGAAGCGCCTCAGCCACGTCGGTAGGGTCAGCCAGCCCCCTGTGTCACTCAGTCCTGATGTGTCACCTGTGTCCTCTTCTGTGTTCTGGACTGGAAAGGGCACTTGGTCCTGGGAGACAGACAGACAATGAAGGGCATTTCTGGGGTATCCTCAGGGCTTTCCGGAATAAAATTGGAATCTTTGCATTTACACGGAATGTGTGTAAAGCTGCGCCCTGCCTGGCCCCTCCCTGGAAGCTAGGGCAGGGCTCCCCAATGAGTGGCGACTGAGGGGGACTCATAATAAAATGCAGAGCCTTGGCCGCAGCAGACCTGGCTCGCAGGGGCTGTACTTTAGCGAATGAACTCTGTGGGGCTTGTGGGTGGCAACAGAGGCTACCTGAGGTGACAGGAAAAAGACCCAGGCTCCCAGTGGGGAACTGCGCATCTCTCCATCCCTCCTTGGTCAAGGGTCTGTGATTCTTGGAGACCCCTCACCCTCTCAGCGCCCCACCACACTCACCTGTTCAACTGGATCTCCGTTCGTTGAGGATCTGGACTGGGTCTGATCTGGGGAGAGGGAGGAGACGCTCTCAGGAAGGATGGCATGCTGGGGTGTCTGTTCCCCAAAACCTACGCTTGCCTCTGGACACTGAGGGGGTGGTCCCCATGACTATTAAACAGGGATGGTGCTTGTGCTATCTGAGAAGCTGCCATCCAGTTATTTGCTTGGTTGTGAAACAGAAAGAAAATAATTATTGTAGCCAGGCATGGTGGTGCCCGTCCTGGTACGAGCTGGTGTGGGAGACACAACCACGGCCCGGCAGCCCCAGCCTCGTCTCGCTGGGCTCACACTGCACCCGGCCAGGCTGGGGCAGGGCAGGAGTCGGTGCTTGGCCCACTTGAGGGCACCCGGGGACTTCTGGCTGGGATGTGAGGGATGACTTGTTTCCTGGCTGAAGGAAAAGCTTCGCGATCGAAGCCCTCTGTCACCTGGACTGGCCACCCGGAGTCCGGGGTGGCCTACAGGACCGCCCTCCTTCCTTCCCTAACAGCCATCAGGTGATCTGACGGCTCCAGCTCCTGTCTGCCCAGTGCGGAAAGGTCAGGGTGTGGGCCGGCACCCCGAGGTGCTGCGCTGGGGGCTCGGGGGACACCAAGTCCATCGGTCAGGGGAGGGGGCGGTGGAGGACTCACTGCGGGCCCTGCGGCGTGGGCGATAAACCTTGAAACCCGCGATCACGATCCCGATCACGATCCCGATCGCGATCCCGATCCCACAGATCACACCGATCTCACGGAGCACAGTGAAGATGTCTGTTCGGTCTGCTGACGGCTCCCGCTCCCGGGGAGGCGGCGGCTCTGGAAGGGAGAAAGGAGCGGGACTCCGGGTGGGAAAGGCCGGCAGACGCCGCCCTTCACTCGTGTCATGACCCGAACTTCCTCTAGGGGGCGCCCACCCGCCTGCCCAGGGCTGCAAGGCGCAGGCGCCCTGGAGGGAGGCCCTGCCTGACCTGGGCCTGGCCAGAGGGCGCGGTCCTTTCTCTCTGGCTCCTAAGTGGGCTGTGACCTAGGATGGGCCATGGATGGCTGTCCTCGGTGAAATGGAAATGGATCCTTAAAAGCTGGGATTTTTTTCCCCTTTTCTCTTTCTCTCTCTGTCTCTGTCTCTCTCTGTCTCTCTCTCTCTCTCTCTCTCTCTCTCTCTCTCTCTCTGTCTCTGTCTCTTTTTAGGCAAGGTCTCTCTATGCAGTGCAGCCTGGCCTTGAACTCACTGTGTAGCCCAGGCTGGCCTCAAATATCACAGGGATCTTCCTGCCTCAGCCTCCAGAGTGCTAGGCTTACAGGTGTGCACCACCACACCGAACCTCTCTTTTTCCTGGGGTTTTTCCCTCTTTCCCTTATTTTCTTCCTTCTTGCCTGGTACTGGGGCCTTTGCACTGAGCCACACCCCTATTCCTTTCCTCATTTTCTGTTTTGACACAGGGTCTCACTATCTCACTACATTACCTAGGCTGGGCTAGAACTTGAAATCCTCCTGCCTCAGCCTCTCAGAGTGCTGGGATGACAGGTGTGAGCCAGCACATCTGGTTTAAAAAGTTGAGATTTTTAAAGTGAAGGTATTTCTCTGGCCTCTTCGTGCTGGACACCAGTCCTGGTGCCTAAGAACCTTCAACCAGACCAGACCGAAACTCTTTCCTAAGTCTGCTGCTGGGTCAGAGCCTGGTAAGGTCCAAATTGTGACTAAACTAATTTTCCTATTTATGGGCTTTTCTCAGACTTTTGATAGTAGGCAGACTAAGTGACCCACACAGTTGGGACACAGACTCAGCCCTCTGAATGGACCCTTGGTGGCATGGAGGTTTTGTCGAAAGCTACTGAAAGTGGGCTTCTACTCTTGGGATTGCTAAGCGGGTGGGATGTTAGCTGAGGGTGCAGGATTCCCAGAACAGAGCTTACTGGAGAATAAAAGCAGCATAAAGAAATCTGAGATAAGCAATGTGAAGAAAAGTTCTAGATTACCTAGTTGGAGCACCTGGATCTAACCATACCAGAAGGTGTATTTTTAAAAACTTTCTTTTTTTGTGGGGTGGGGAGCTTAGATGCTTTTGAGTCATGCATCTGACAATTCCGAAGGATTCCGTAGGATTCCGAAGCCGGGCACCACACCCTGACCACCACCTGCGGGCGGTTCAGCTGCTCCCCGTCCTGCGGTGGCCCCAGTGGCCGACCCTCCTCCCAGCTCCTCACCTTTCAGCAGGATGGTCTCATTCCGCTGGCCAGTCCCCATGGCGTTGATGGCCAGGCAAGTAAACATGGTGTTGTTGATGGACTCATCAACATTGCGGAACAGAAGCTTCCGGCCCTGGACCTCCGCAGAGCGTGGCAGGGTTCCCGTGGTCCTGGGGAGATGGGCGGGTGATGACGTGGCCTGTTGGAGCCCTAGAGTGACCGCGACTCTGTTGCCTCCCGCAGTCTGCACCTCACCTTAGGAGCCATCTGGAGTCCTCCCCTCGCCACCCCCGCCTCTCCCTGCCACTGCGCAGCCATCAGCAAATCTTGCTGAGCCCACCTTCTAAACCCACGTTGAATCCCAGGCAGCTGGGGCCAAGCGTGGCCACTGTAGCCTCCCTTGCCACACTGCCCCCGAGGAGGCCAGCAGGGGGCGCCCGAGTCACAGGTCGCCTCGGAGCCCTCTGCTCAGCAGAAAGCCAGCATCCTGCCCCCAGCGACGTGTGCTCCTCCCCATCTTTCAGGCCTCTGCCAGAAGTCGCCTGGTTTGCCCGCTATTTCTCCGTCCCTGGCTCAACTGTTAAGATTTGTGGTGGAAGCAGGCAGGCACTCAGGAGCGAAGGCCCTGGCCCTGCTGCTTTCACTTCCCCACCATATACAGCGCTTTGCCCTGTGTCTAGATGGCCCCCAAAGCCTCACATGGCCATAGGTGGGCCTTTTACAGAGACGGCTGGACCTAGCGGGTGTGAGTCTGGGACTCAGGTACAGTGCTGGGCCCAGGACACTAGGGCTAAAGAGTGTGAATGCTGCCCGCCCCGGCCAGAAAAGAAAAAAGGGTGGAAATATGCTGCTAAGGTCCCTGTCACCTGGCTACCTCGCAAGCACCAAAAGTGTCTTCTGTGATGCTGCCTTGGAGCCAGCGGACTATGGACTGAATCTTCAAAGTATGATTCAAACAAACCTCCTTTAGCTTTTTGGGTTTTTTTGTGTGTGTGTGTCTTTTTGAGGCAGGGTCTCTCTATGCAGTTCAGCCTGGCCTTGAGCTGGTCTTTGTAGCCCAGGCTGGTCTCAGACTCCCAACGCTCCTCCTGCCTCAGCCTCCCGAGCGCTGGGATTACAGGTGTGCACCACCATGCCCGGTGCCGCCTCCTCCTTTAATTTTGAGTGCTAAGTGTTTTGTCTCAGCAATAAGGAAAGTCAGAAAGACATTCATGAAGATCTGGCACAGGCCGTACTCCATGACTCTACCCTGCTTACTTTCTCTCTGCTAGGAATGGGAGTCCCACAAGGGGAGAGGGCGGCTCTGTCACATCTACCAGAGCACAGTGGTCAGCAGCCTGGGGGCCGGATGCAGAGGACGCATAGCACGGTGGTCAGCATGGAGGCCAAGCATGTACTGTGAGGGACCCGAATCCAGATGCCACCCAGCAGCAGGACATGAGCAGCACCATCCCTGAGAGCGAGTGACTGCCAGTTCCTCCAGGGCAGCAGCTGTCCCCAAGGAGCGTGGCCACACCCCTGGGCTGTGCATAGCTGGCCAGTTAACTGAGGGCAAGTACACAGATGGGGCTTCCAGCCTCGGCAGAGAGGGGCAGCAAACACACAGTGATACATATGGGCTGGGGGTTCGATGCGTGGGTGGAGGGTGGGCCAACATGGATCAGCAAGGGCTGCAGAACATCAGGGGGGAATCTGGGCTTGCTGAGGGTTCACTGGGAATTTGCATGACCTTTCCATTCTAGTTTTTGTTTGGAAACAAAAAAATAAACAACAGGCAGGACATATAACAAAAGGTAAGAGTGGGTATTTCTCGCTGTCCTTATTGGCTACTGAGGAACTATTTCCCTCTTTTTGCTCGTGTTTTGTTTGAAGGCTGTGCAATGTCATGTTATTTTTGGGATAAGGAAAAGGGTCAATAAACACTGTGTAAAATAATGAACCATAGCGGGTTGTAGTGGCACAGCTGTAATCCCAGCACTTGGGAGGCTGAGACAGGAGGGTCACCATGAGTTTGAGGCCAGCCTGGGCTACAGAGTGAGTTCAAGGTCAGCATGAACTACATAGCGAGAGCCTCCCCCCCCCCAAAAAAAATCATCATTTTTTTGGGAATGGAGCTCAAACAAATTCTAGTTTTTGTTTGTTTTTTCTATGGGGCTATGGATGAAGAGGCCAGGGCCTGGCACATGTCAGGCACTTGGCCCAGCCCTATAGAGGACCTTTAATAGGTCGGCTACAGTGCTGACTGTCAGTGTTATGTGGCAGAGCTGGTACTCAGCTCAGAGTGGCGGTGTGGGCCCTGGGCATTAACAGCCCAGACCAAACACCTCCCCGCACGACGATGGCATGCTGGCCTGGGCTCGCCCATGTTCTTTCTTTAATTCTGTTCCCCTTTTGGGCTCAGCTTCCTCCCTCAGACCTGTGGGTCCAGGCCCGGCCTCCTCCCTCAGACCCTGGTCAATAAACTCACGTGTTCCAGTCCACAGTTACAGGCTCTGGGTTGCTGTGGATGTCACAGCTGAGGGTGGCATTTTTTTGGCCAGAATACCAGTCTTCATTATAGCCAGAGATGAACACTTCAGGCGGATCTGAAGAGAATGGGCACACACGCTCAGGGATGGGGAGTCTTCAGAATGGCTGAAGAACTGTGGGCTTCAGGCCCAAGTGGGGTGGGGAGCAGCTGAGCTGGAGAGGCCTGGGAGGAGCCCAGGGTCACAGGTTCCTTCACAGAATGGAAGCCTGGGCATCCTCAGGCAGGGAGCACCAAAGGGGCTTTTTGGAACCTGCCTTTCTCTGCCTGTTTCTTGGGTAGCCTCATCCTGGCCTACCTTAGTGTTCAAGGCTCTGACAAGTCTTGCAGGAAAGGGTCTCCTGCTTCTCTGCTCCAGCATCATGACCAGAGACACTTTCCTAAGTCCTCAGGGGCCAGGCCAATGGGACAGGGCTGTGTGTGGAGTGGGAAGGAGGCAGGTACAAGTCACCCCGCTGTCCTCCTCCCCCAGACACAGCGACTGTCGAGGGAACCCGTGGCCCACCTCCCTGGGGAGGAACAGCTGGTGAGACAGGGCAGACAGACAACATGCAGAGTGCCATGAAGAGCCCCTGTGGGCACTGCTGATGGGCCCCGCGTAGACAGAGCACCGGGTACCAGTCTTCTATGCAGCGAGGTGGCCACTGTGGAGGAAATGTTCATTCCTGGGGGAGCCAGGGAGACGATGCCAGGGACAGTGACAGCACAGAGAGTGTCCTGGTGAAGTTGGGGAAATGCAGCCGGATTGTGGGCGCACACGTGTGCCTCACCCCAGGAATCGCCAGTTAGATAGGTGGGAGCTTAGACCTGTGCTGTCCGACACAACCGTGATGCTTGCACGCTTGGGATGCAGCTGCTCTGAAATCCACAGCAGATTTCGAAGGCTTACAGTGACAATATTGTCAATGTAAATATTGATTTGCATAAAATCCACTATGCAAATAAACTTTCTCTCTGGCTGTCTGTCTGTCTGTCTGTCTCGGCAGCGCTGGGGATGGAACCCAGGGCCTCTGGAGGCTATACGAGCGCTCCACCACTCAGCTGCATCCCCACCCCTTTTTGGTTTTGAGATAGGGGCTCACTCAGTTGCTCAGGCCAGCCTTGAACTTTTGACCCCCTGCCTCAGCCTCCTGAGTAGCTGGCATTACAGGTGTGAGCCGCTTAGATCGCCCCACCTCTTAACCATCTTTAAATGGTAGCCGGTGGGAAAGTAAACATCTCATCTGTGGCTCATTGTGTCCTCCAGCTGGTCAGAGCAGAGAGAGTGCTGGGGTTGTCATTGTGGTTAAATCTGTGGGTATAGATACTGGTGACACCCTACGTGCAGCTGCACAGGGGCCCCAGAGTGGGAGGCCGGTCCGGCTGTATGAGGCTGTGTAGACAGAAGCCAGGGAGACAGCTTGGGCTGTGGGAGGGGATCAGACAGTGTAGCCCGCACTGGGCAGAGGACAGTGTAGACACTGCCCCAGAGACAATGGAAGAATGTGAGGCAGCTCTTCGAAACCACTGAGGCAGCTGGTACAGACACTATGGGGGGTCCAGAGTAGACACTGGGGGGCATTTCAGAGAGCACCTGGGAGAACCCAAGTAGAAAGCATAGGGTCACAGGGTCAGGGCACACGACCCCGAGACAGTAACAACGCCCCACAGCCAGTGGCCTAAGTGGCAAGTGTGGGCAGCACTGCCCGATGTCCAGGAGAGCCGGTGTAGACAGTGTGGGGGGACACAGGGTCGCTGCCCGTACTCACAGGGCACGGAGAGGGTCATGTGCAGCAGGTCCGGCTCCGCCAGAGTGTCGTGCTCCACTCTGCAAGTGACTCTCTTGCCATCTGTGCTCCTGGAGGGCACCATCAGCAGGAGGCTGGTCACGTTGACCGTGCCGGACAGGGGCTCCTGCTTTTGCTCCTGGGTCTCTTTGATCGTCTCATTCAGGGCTGAGTCATCGAGCTGCCAGGAGAGCTTGGCAGGGGGCCAGCCCCTCTTGGATGCACAGAGGGCCACCGGCACGGGCTCCCCGGGCCTCAGCGGAGGCAACACCTGCTGTGGCTCCACCTTGTTTTGAGGTGAGGCTGGGGGAGGGTGACACGGACAGGTCACCTCCTGCCCGCAGTCACCCTGCAGACCCTCAGCGGCTGAAGGGGTTACCCGAGGATGGCCAGGGTCAAATCCCAGCCCTGTCCCAGAGCAGCCGGTGACCTTGAGCAGGTCTGTGCCTCAGTTCCTTTAACTGCCAGCCTTGGATACTGAAGGGGTCACGGGCAAAGAGGAGATGAGGGGAAGAAGGCAGAGCGGCCCTGGCACACGAGAAACACTCTCAGTAAGTGCTGCTTGGTGGCCCTGTGGGGACCCAGCAAAGAGCATCACCCCTGGGCCCTGCCCTTGTGCCTGGGCAAGGAGGGGCATGGTTCCTGCGAGCCTGGAGTCAGGCTTTCATGTGCACAAGGTCTGTCTGACTCAAAAGCTCCCAACCGCCTCTTCCCGTCTCCGTCACCGTCCAGGGCTTCCCTCCAAGCTTCCCATCATATCCTGGGCCATCACTGCTGAGTCACCTCCACCTGACTCACGGAGGGTCCTTGACTGAGGGGACAGGAGTGCCCCTCAGTGGTGCCACCTCTTCTCAGCACTTGATAATTATGAGCTACTCACAGAAGGCCTGGGAAAATTCCAGGCACAGCAGGGGCCTGGGCGGGATAGCAAGAGGGACTGGGAGGCTTCCTGCCCCAGTTACAAGAGGAAGAAGGCATTTGTCAGATTTTCCAGGCACTTGGCCCATTCAGAAATCACTGGCTGTGTAATCTCAGCACTCTGGGAGGCTGAGTTAAGAGGATCCCTAATTAGAGTCCAGCGCCCACAACTTAGCAGACTAAATTTGTCTCAAATTAAAAAAAATAAATAAAATGCAGATGTGTGAAGGTTCTGGGTTCAATCTCAGTAACCCCACAAAAGAAAGGGAGGGGGTACTGAAGAAGCTAGTGCCCAAGATGGCAGTGGTGGAGGTGGGCTGCAAACTCAGGGCTCCCCCTCCAGCTCCTGCCAGCTCCCTCACACTCCCTTCCCCGGCCATCACTGCCCTTCTCTGTCCATCACGGTGCTGGGCCTTGGGTCTGAGATTGCCCCCTCAAAGCCGGCAGCCTGGCCCCATCCTTCACCCGCCCCAGCCTCTCTGGTCCTCATGAGCTGCAGGGGCCCCTCTCCCGCCCTGCCCAGGCTCACCCAACACCAGCAGCTGGGTTTTGATGACGATCGTGCCCCGCGGGAAGGTAGCTATGCTGCATTTGTAGAACCCTCCATCCTCAACACGCAGGTCTGACAGCATCAGGCTGGCGTCTGTCAGGTTCCCGCCGGCCTTGGCAGCCACGAACCTCATTCTCCTGGGTTCCCTGGAAAAGGTTCTGCCATCGTGGTGAAAGGTGGCTACATGCTGGAGAGCCCCCTCCAGCTGCTGGTTTTCCCAGGTGAACTGGCTCACGTGTATGCCTGGCTCCAGAACCCTCAGCCTACAGGGCAGTGTCACATTCTGGCCCACATAGCCAGTCACGTTAGAGGGTTTCTGCATACTTGGAGTTTCCATTCCTGTGGGGAAATCAGGGGCACCAATTATAGATGAGAAAACTGAGGCACGGGGCCGCTTGACACAGAGATCATCGGGATAAGCAGGAAAGGTAAGATTTGAACCTGGACTGTCAGTGGTCAGGCTAATTGGCCCTGCATGGAAGTCTCTGTGCCTTCACCCCAGCGTGTAGTAGATTCATGCATTATTGCTGACCGGAAGAGGGGAAAAGTCAAATTCTCAGTGCTCCTGCCCGCCCTGCCCTTGTGCAGGTGTATTTTATCTGCCAAGCCTCAGTTTTACCTGTAACACAGGTGCAATAGTTTGGATCTCAAGTGTCCAACCACGGTCCACACAGTAGAGGTTTGGCATCTTTGAGAGATAGGATCTAAAGTCACGTGCCCAGGCACACTGCTGACTGAAATCTCAGCACTATGGGAGGCTGAGGCAAGAGAATCACAACCTGGGTAATTTGAGCTCAACCTGGGTCATTTAACTTAGCAAGACAGTGTCTTAAAAAATATTTTTTAAAAAGTCTTTGAAGCTGTAATTCAGTGAGAAGAACCCAGGTTCAGTCCCGGTGACACAGAAGACAGCACATGGCAAAGCTGGCTGGGGAAATGAGTGGGACCGGACAATGACAAGATGCCAAAATGCCAGGACAGCACTAAATAATTCTCAGGATCCTGCAGGTAGGACTTCTCTCCGGCTCCCACAAGACAGGCTTGCTATAGAAGAAGACCTGACCCTGGGGAGCTCCCTACTGTGCCCTCCAGCCATAGCCCAGGCTGCATTTCTCAGACACAGCACAAGCTTTTAATTTTGCTTTTGTCTTCTTCTTTTCTCTTGTACTGCCCAAGTTTGCTCGGCAAAGCTGGTTTCTCCCATACCATTCACCTCTCACTTTCCTTTTTTTTTTTCTTTTTGGTACCAACCAGGGATGGAACTCACCACTGTGCGTTTGCAAGGCAGGCACTTATGCTGCTGAGCTAAATCCCATCCCCCACCCCTCACTTTTCAAATTAACTTTCATCACTACTTTTGAGCTAGAAGGACCCAGAATACTTATGACTGGCAAGCCATTTCTAAGGAAGCTACCTGATTTCGAGGTGAACGAAAAAAAAGAGGTAGGGTTCCGGGTGTGTGGGTATCTTTGGGTCACTGAAGGTGTGACCCAGAAAGGACTGCAGGATGCTGCATTCTCCTGTTCTTTCTTTCTTTCTTTCTTCCTTTTTTTTTCTCATCTTTTTGAGACAGGGTCTCTATGCAGTTCAGGCTGGCCTTATGCTCACTTTGTAGCCCAGGCTGGTCTTGGACTTGCAAGGATCCTCCTGCCTCAGCCTCCTGAGTGCTGAGATTACAGGCGTGAGTCACCACACCTGGCTTGGACTCTCCTGTTGTCTTTCTCTTGCTTCTAGACCATGAGGTGAGCTGTGGTTTTGTTCCTCCAGACTCTGCCTACTAAGATGCTCTGTCCCCCTGGGCAGAGAACAGTGTGGCCAGTGGCTCAGAACCTGCCACACTGGGAGCCCAGAGAGACCCTCCCTCTCTGTAGATGGACTGGTCTAGGTTTTCGCTTAGGTGACCGTACATATGGCAATGGTTAGCATGAGAAGGCAAGGTGATGAAAGTCTCACAGGGTGGTGACCTGATCTCAGGCGAATATTAATTACCACTGGGGTCAGAGGAGCAGAGGAAGCTGGGGGCAGTGCACGCAGGTGCCTGGTGCTGTTGGGCAGAAGCGGGGCTGACTGGGGGAGAGTGGGCTGGGGTTTGGGTGCCTGACTCTGCCCCGGCCAGTGACACACCCCCACCCCCGTGTTTCTCTCTGTCCAATGGGATGGGAGGGTGAGGTCACTGGCAGGGAGGGGCCCGGCCTGGGCTCAGAGGTGGTTACTGGGCCCTGGTATCCTGCCTCACGTTTCCTGCGAGGGCGTCGGCTCTGGCCCGCCCGGGACTGTCTCGGGGCTGGGTGTGGCCTAGTGCCCTTGGGCTGTGGAAGCAATAGTGCTCTGGGCACCTTCAGAGAAAGCTCAGGCCAAGGAAGTGGGTGCCCTGCACGCTGTATTATTACCCAGCACAGCACCGGTGACAGATCCTATACCTCCCCCACCCCACCCCCACTTTCCCCTAATGAAACCTTCAGGTCCTGGGGATTAAATGCCAAGTGCGGGAGCCACGGTGGGCTTGGGGCCCCAGCGTTTAGAACACTGTCAGGCACTCTGGGGGGGGGGGGGACACGACCGCACAAATTTAAAAGAAAGCCTGAAGTCTGGTGGTGCAAGCCTGTATCCCCAGTATTCCGGGAGGCTGATCCTAACCTGGGCAATTTACACGTGACAAGGCTCTGTCTCAAAATTTAAAAAGTTTTAAAAAGTTTTTCGGGGGTGGGGTGGGGGAATCCTTCGGTTCAGTCCCAGGCAGACAAGCAACGCTGCGCCTTTTAAAGTGTGCCCGACACCCGGGCCCCACCCCACCCCTTAACCGGGGAAGGCGGAGCAGCCCAGAATCGTGCTCTCTAAAATCCGCCGCGCCCCGACCTTCCTGCAAGCCAGCCGCTTTTATTCACCAGGGCTATCCTGAAAGGCACCACAGCCATCCTCAGTGACACGGAGGCCCTGAGCTCCTCCGACAATAAGCACAGTCGGGCACATGCCAGGAGTTCATCCTGGAGACCAAGCAGCACACATCTTCCTCTCCGGAGCCAGGAAGCAATGCTCGATGTGAGGACCAGAGATTCTCCAACAGCAACATGTAGGCGAACCCACAATGCTAACCCATTCAGACCCGTTCATTGCTCGTGCCCCCACCCGAACGCCTGGGCACTCGGCAGGTGGCCGCGGGGCTCAGGAGGTCCAAGGGCGACAGACGGACACTCACCGGCTCCCCCGGGGCTTGAGCGCAAGAGCAGCCCCAGCAGCAGCAGCAGCCGCAGTCGGGCGAGGGCCATGTGGCCAGTCCGGCGGGTCTGGCGAGTCCGGATCCCAGCGGAACCCATCTCCTTGTCTGGCTCGGGGCCCGCAGCCGGCGACGCGGGGGCAGCCCTGTCCGGGGCGGGGCGGGGCGGGGTGTCGCTCGCCGCGGTTGGGTGCAGCGCCCCCCACCCTGCCGCCGGCTCTAGGGATTCCCACGCGCAAGGCTGGCGGCTGCTGAGCGGCGGAGCTGAGCTGAGCAGGCGCGGCCGCAGTGGGGAGGCTGGTCCGTGGCTTGCCCTCTAGGAGGCTAAGCAGGAGGATGGAAAGTTGGAGAGAAGCCTGGACAACTTAGCAAGACCTTGCCTCAAAATAAAAAAAATGAAGAAAAAAAAATGAAAAGGGCTGGGCATGTAGCTCAGGGCAGAGGTCCTGGGTTCAGCCTCAGTATCACCAAAAATGTAGGGGCTGTACTGGGGTCTTGACCGCCAGCTCCTTCCACCAGCCGCGCACAGACCAGGCACACTGCTTCTGTGTGGCTTTAGTTTTCTCTGAAAACTCAGCACCATCACAGGGCTCACTTTAAGCTGGAAATTTCCAGTTCCACCCAGCAACTACTGGTTCATAACTGGGGGTGGGGGGGGGTGGGAATCAGCTAGAAGTGAAGCGAGCTCTGAGGAAAGCGAGCTCAGGGTGGGGCTGCTCGGTGGCAGCAAGTGTTTATAGCACTTGTGTGAGGCTGTGTGTTCTGTCCCAGGGCCATGAATCAAGCCGCAGTGTAATTCAGTACAAAGTCATGCTGTCAACAGCGGCTCTGTCTCTGTGGAGTCTGGGTGCTAGAGGAGGGGACAGATTGATGGCAGAACGAGAGGCGTCCTGGTCCCCAGGGATGTCCCTCCAAGCTACTGTCCCCTAGCAGCTCTGGGCCCTGGTCCTGGACATCCCGGTATATTTGTAGGAAATTCCTGGCTGCCTTGGGAATTCTGTCCCCGGCCATGGTCTCTGATGCCACAGGTGCCAGCTTGGAAACCAGGTGGCTGTAGTCACCCTGGATGTGTGCAGGTGAATTTCTGAATGAAATCACATATGTGGAGCTCTTGGAAATCTCTGAACTTTCTAGCATCCTTGTTATGCTGAGTTATTTCCAAACTAGGAACTTGTGGCCCAGCTTTGTTCCTTCTCCGGGTCATGTTGTCATCATCACCTTGCCCCGTTGAACTCTGCTCTGCCTCTGCTGATGTTTGACTTCACATTTGGGGTCCTTCACCCCTGCTCCGCCTCTCCCCCACCCCAGGCATCTAACTCTTTGGTGGTGCAGATGTGTCCTGAGCGATTTCATATTATGAGATGATGTAGGGGCTCAAGTATGAAGCTCAAGCAGGGTGACAAAGCCAGGCCCAGCATAGTGGTGCAGCCTGTAGTCCCAGCACTCAGGAGGCTGAGGCAGGAGGGTTGCCACAAGTTCAAGGTCATACTGGGCTACATAGTGAGACCCTGTCTCAAATAAAACTAAACAAAAGGCAGGGTTGAGAGCAGGGAAGGGCAAAGGTTGAGATGGAGTCAGAGTTAGGGGTCAGGATGTGGGAAAGTCTCGGGAATGGGACTAGAATGAGATGAGGGTCAAGGATCTAGTGAGGGTTAGCAGGAGATTAGGGGCATCAGTGACCAAAACAGTAATGTTTCTGGCCCCAAATAGTAATATTCCTGGCCCCAAATAGTAATATTCCTGGTCCAAAATAGTAATCTTCCTGGCCCAAAATAGTAATTCAGCTACTATGCTCTGGGAAGGCCCAGCCTGGCAGGATTATCCCTGCCAACTGCTCCCCACCTCTGAGCCCTGAGGAAGGGCGAGGAATTCAGTGAAATGCCCCTCTTTGGGCTCCTACAGCTTTCTGGTCTCCCCGTCCTGGGCCTTTGGTCTCTTGTGTACATGTTTGTTGAGCACTTACTACGTGCTGCCCCCGTCCCAGATGCAGGAGATGCGTCATGAACAAGAGGTGGCACGCTGGGGCGGGAGGCGGGGAGACACAGGTGGTAGAGAGGGAGGCAGGTGCGGTGTCAGAGCAGGGTGGAGGCTATGGGAACCGGATGACAGGACCCCTTGCCCATTGCCACCCTAGGCTTTTTTTTTTTTTAATTTTATTTTGAAAGTAGTAAAATACAACAGAACAAGACAGAATAAAGCCCACTAAGATCATACAGTGAAATTGACACAGAACACAGAACTTCACAGCAGGTTACCAGGATAACAGTAATAAGTATCATAGTATATTTTGTTATCTTTACAATAGTTGTTCTTTCAATCACGTATATCAAGATAAAATGAAATACAGAACATTATAGAACTTATCAAAACAGAATATTGAATAGATCAGTACCATTAATCAGAATAGAGCAAAGCAGTTAATAAAAACATTTGTCTTCAAAGAGATGGAGAAGGAAATCCCCCTTATTTTCTATGGTCAACCTCCCAAGAGATGCTCAGATTTCTGGTTCCCATTTGCTAATGGGGGACAGGAGAAGGCCGGTAGGGGAAGTGGGATGTTTGACTCTAGGCCGTACACCGGTAGGTTCACTATTGCTTGGCAGGGAGGCAGGCTGGTTGCTTGGTTCCCAGCTTCGTAAGTTCTAACATGGCTCAGATCTCAGAGGCTGCAGGGGGTTCTCCCCCGGGAAGGGCCGCAGCCACTCTAGGCTTTAAGGAGAAGGGAGCCTGTGGTCAGTTGAGAGCACAACCAAACTGCTCTTGTAGACTGAAGAAAGTGGCAGGGTTTTGCTGATTCCTGGGGTGAACTAAAGTCCGGTCATTCCTATGGCCAGAGGCTCTGTTCTGAGAGACACAACAGGTTTGGATCATGGGCGGTCATGGTCATCTCGTCCTAGATTTGGTGCATTTTCGTGTGTTTGGCGCCTCTGTCCTCACATCCCGGCCTTGAGCGTGGTGGACTAACAGGAGGTCTGATTCTCTCAGTGTCTGCCGAGCTGCCCTTCCCACTGGCAACATCTCCCACATACACGCTCCGGCCATGGGACAGGGAAGGACATCCAGTGCTTGGGCTGCTGAGAAAGCAGGACACAGTCCAGCTCCCACGGGCCTAGATCACCATGTCGGGGTCTCAGACACATTTCTTCAATGGTCCACAGTCTATGTGCAAAGCCCAGCAGAACCTAACCCCACGGCTAGGACAGCACAGGGGACAGATATGACAAAGGCACGAGTGTCAGGCCTTTTATCCCACCCCAGCCGCCCACCAGACAGCTGCAGGCCTGGGGAAGCATCGCTGTGCTCAGCAGAACTGGCCTGCTTTAGTCAGGGTGGTGCACAGAACAATTAGAACCAGGACATGGAGTTTATAATACTATTTTTATCACGGTCACCCAGAGTTAGCACAAGAAACTGCAGGAAATCTATCTGTAATACCAAAGACAGAATATTCAGCCAAGGGTCTGACTCCCACAGCAATGTCCCACATGAGCCCAGACGAAAATCCAGAGCTCATGACAATGCCTCCCATGAGTCCAGCTGGAGATCTAAAGCCCAGAAGAAGGACTCACGCCAGTCTGCTTTACAGATCCGTGACGGGAAGGCACAAAGGTCAGCGGTGGAAGCCAAAAAGTCCATGCCAGTGGGGTGAAGGAGCTGTGCTGGTGGGATGAGGGTTCTATGCTGGAGCTGCAACATCACACTCACAACAGAGACCAGGGCTGTCCTGAAAGGCACCACAGCCATCCTCAGTGACACGGAGGCCCTGAGCTCCTCCCACAATAAGCACAGTCGGGTATGTGCTAGGAAGCAGCGTGATAAGTTTATCCTGGAGACCAAGCAGCACATATCTTCCTCTCCGGAGCCAGGAAGCAATGCTCGATGTGAGGACCAGAGCTTCTCCAAGAAAACCAACGGCTCAAACAGCAACATGTAGGAGAACCCACAATGCTACAACACCTCAACCCTCAACACCTCCCTTCTTCTCCACCAATTTATGCTGGCAACTTTCCTCAGGTGGAGCATCTATGCTCAGCACCGTGCTGATGTAATCTGGCTGGTGTTAAGTTGGCCACCAGTTTTTAATCCAAAACACGGCCTCAGGTGCCCTGGAAGTAACCCAGGCACTGTCCTCACAGCCCACACCTGGGGATGGGTGATGTGTCCGGCACGGAGGTGGGGCCAGGACTGTGTCCTCCGGGCGCGTGGAGGACTGGTGACTGTAAATTGACCAAGGGCGAGTGGGGCTGGAGAGCTTGTTTAGCTTTTTTTCTTGGAGTCTTTCCTCTGTCCCTGCAACATGGAGCCCCCTGTCCTGACCCCAACAGCAGGCCTGGTCCCTGGTGAGCTGTGAGTGGAAGTGAGGTGGGCTGATTCTGAGCATGAGTTGCAAAGCTGTTGGCCTGTTCTGTCGCTGGCTCTTCTGTGGTCACCATGGCTTCTGTCCCAGGGGTTCTCCATGATCCCAGGACAAAGACATGTAGAGAAGACTTCAGGCTGGCCTGCAGTCAACACTTGTAATGTGAGTGAAGAATGACCACATAATCCACCACGATTTGGGGGTTGTTCCTACAGCAGAATCTGGTGAAGCAGACATAGAAAAATCACCTTTGGTGTGGAGTGTTTAAGCAGAGATCCAAGGGAAGTGAACTGTGAAAATCCTGGGCATAGATTCTTTTGCAAGTGCAAAGGCCCAGGGGCAGGAATGCACTTGAGAACTTGAAAAACAACAAAAGGATCAGTGAGGCTGGAATGGATAGAGGGACGGGGACAGTGATAAAGGGTAGGCCATTATCCCTTGTAGGCCATGGCGAAGAATTGGCATTTCACTGAGGTTAGAAGATATTGGAGCGTGACCTCTGTGGCTGCTCTGTGGGGAACACAGGCTGTTGGGCATGAAGGTAAAAACTGGAAACCCAATAGGCTGCTCAAGGAGGCAGAGGACGGGCTCATGCCAGCATGGCTGGTGTGGGCAGCGATTAGATTCTAGACGTATTTTATTTTATTTATTTTTGAAACAGGATCTCAAACTCACAGAAGATCTTCCTACCTCAGCCTCCTGGGTGCTGGGCTCACAGGTGTGTGCTCCCACACCCAGCACCTAGGTGTGCTTTACAGGATGGGGCAAAGGGATTTGCAGTCCAATTGAATGGGAGGGGATGGAAAAGAAATAGAGTCACACACAATTCTGTGGTTCTGGCCTGGTGGAAGGGAAGGAAGAGATTCTTCCTGAGGTGGGAAAGACATAGGAGGGGCAGGGCTGGACGACAGAGCCCGTCTGCTCTGGGCCACTGCTATGGTTAGGTGTGGCCCGAGTCCCCCAGTGCTCTGTGGAGATTAGAGTGTTGGAACCTTTGGAAGTGGGACACACACACACACACACATACACACACGGAGGAAAAGCCTCTGGCCTAAAGCCAGAGGCATGAAGCAATAGTGAGTGGTCCCTGAATCAAGATGAGTGGGAAACCAAGCCAAGGCACACATTTTAGTTTTAAAAACAGAAAGGAAAAAAAAAAAGACAGGAAGAGAAAGAACAATGCTAAAGCCATGTTGTTTTTTCAATGAAGATACAAAGAATAAGAAAATAGATTCGTACTTGCTTCCTTAATTTTGTTCTGTTGGTTTTTTGAGGCAGGGTCTCAATAAGCAGTTTAGGCTGTTCTTGAATTCACTGGGGAGCCCAGGCTGGCCTCCAATTCACAGCAATCCTCCTGCCTCAGCCTCCTGAGTGCTGGAATTACAGAACATGCATCACAATGCCTGGTCATACTTGCCTCCTTATTCAAGTTTTCAGGATCCAGAACTTGGGACACCACGGAATCAAATAGGATGGATTCCCAGAACTCTTAGACCCTTTGGGGATATCTGTTCACGTGGAAAATTCCACTCAAGTTCTGCTTTCAAAAGAATGAATGGGAAATTTTAGAATGGGTCCCAACACTCAACAAATGTACTCAGCACAGTGAGACTGGGGGCAGCAGGCGGAAACACTGTATCATACAGCTTGCCTTCCTGCAATGAAATACCGGCGGCAGGTAACTTCTAAAGAGAAAGGGCTCGCTGGGCTCAAAGCAGCAGTGAAGTTCTAGGTCCAGGACCAGCAGCCCTGTTTGTGTGAGGTGACAGGAGGAAGCACAGGGTGGCACAAGCTGACATCCCTTCTGATCTCACGAGGCAGGAAGTCACAGACTCCGTGGTCCCAGGTCCCTGCCTTCTAATGTTTCCTGGAGGTGCAGAACCTGTTTTTGTGGGGGTGGTGACAACTTGAGAAGTTCCCCTTTGTTTTTCACTTATCACCTTGGTGATTGTTCAGGAAGTGTTACATACAGTAAGATCACCCCAGAGGTGAGGCCCTCCACCTCAACCCCATCACCTTGGAACCCCGAGCTGAATCGCCTCTCCTCTCCTCTCCTCTCCTCCCCTTTCTTCTCTTTTCCTTTCCTTCTGTCTCTTTCTTTCCTTTTTCCTCCTCCTTCTTTTCCTCTCTTTTTCTCTTTGTTCCGAAGTACCGGGGACTGAACCTGGGATCTTCACACTGAGCTTCATCCCTACCCCTTCTGTTACAGCTGAATAGGCCAATTATAGTCCAGGCTTTTGTGTACAACAAGGAAAGAATTGCTATGTTATATCCAGTATTAAGCAGTGAGCAGCTACATTTATTTTTATTTATTTATTTATTTGTCTTTTTCCTTTTTATCAGTACTGGGGATGAACTCACAACTGCCTGCTTGCAAGGCAAGCGCTTATGCCGCTGAGCTAAATCTCCAGCCCCACAGCTACATTTATTGATATTCACAGGAAGTTGTACACAGGGCAAGTCTGCACCCCTAAAGATAAAACACAAACAGAAGGCTGGGCATGGTGGTGCATACCTGTAATATCGGCACTCAGGAAGCTGAGGCAGGAGGATTGCTGTGAGTTTGAGGACAGCTTGGGCTACACAGTGAGTTTAAAACCAGCCTGAATTACAGAGCAAGACCCTATCTCAAAAGACAGGAAGAAAGAAAGACTAATCTCTGGTACCCAAAAAATACATAAAACTTAAAAAAAAAGAAAGACGGACAGACAAAAAAAAAAAAAGAGAGAGAGAGAGAGAAATGTGCCACGGTGATAGAAAAGCATGGTGTACAGGTCAAAGCACACAAAAGTAGCAACAGCAATAAAAAGGCCTAGAGAAATCAGACTTTACAATTTCAAGGCCAGACACAGTAGTTTAGGTGCCTCCCACGGAGCTAGCGTGACCTGCTCAGTACAAGATCCCGGAACGCATGCACAGAACAGCTCCCAGAACCCTGTGCGCAGACTTCTCTTGGAAACTGGGCAGCCTGGGCTGTGGGATCGCAGCACCACTGTTCAGAACCCATGTAGAAGTCCTTGGGATTTGAACGGTGTAAACGGCATGCCGACACCAAGAAGGGCATGCCTTTGTGATTTTCCTTCATCATAGCCCAACCTGCTTTCTCCAAGGCATTCTTTTATCTTGCTTAGGGCCATGCATAAGTGTCCCAGAATACACTCGAATCTTAATTATATTCATGACATGCAGTGCATATTCATGAACCTGTAATGAGCTGGGCATAGGGGTGACCGGAAGTCAGGCTGGGAGATCCACTATGCCTGTGCTCTGGGCTACAGCGTTGCCATCTCCTGGGTTTTTGTTATTTTATTTCTCACCTCCATCATTTCTACTCAGAACTGATTGGGTGAAATAGACACGATCAAAATATTATTCACTTATAAAATGATTTAAGTTTTTGTTTTGTTTTGGGAATTAAATCCAGAAAGCACTAAGGTACATCTCTAGTTCTTTCTTTTTTTTTTGTCTTTTTCATTTTTATTGGTATTGGGGATCGAACTCACAACCGCCTGCTTGCAAGGCAGGTGCTTATGCCACTAAACCCCCAGCCCCATCTCCAGTTCTTTGTCCTTCATTTATAATTTTTTTTTGAGACAAATTCTTGCTCAGTTGCCCAAGCTGGTCTCAAACAATCCTCCTTCCTCAGCCTCCTGCAGAGGTGGGATAACAGGCCCGGAACAGGGCCCCCACCTCTCCACAGTGTCAGGTAGGAGACACAGTGAATCCCGGGCAGTAGCTCAACCAACATGAAACAGCCTGATTGTGACACCAGTTCCAAAGCCCAGGCCTGGGCCAGCCCTACCCTACACACCAGATCTACCCTAAAATAGCACTTCCTGAGGTGGGACCGCTGAGCCATGAACAGACTCTGAGGCCATGGATATCCCCGGAGGAACTGAATTCTAAACTCCTCTGCACTGAGCCAGCTCCCTGGCCCTTTTGAGACCCCTTTATGCTGAATCACTAAGTTGTTAAGCTGGACTCCAATTTCTAACCCTCCTGCCTCAGCCCCCCCAGAGTCCTGGGGTCACAGCACCTTAACTGACAGCACAAGCCACCCGGGGTCAGTGGCCACTGTATGATACAGGGCAGCTCCGAATCCTAATTGTGCAAAACTAATAATCCCGTAGCTGCTATGTGTGGATGGTAGATTCCAGGCTACCCTGGGGACCTTGCCCAATCCCTGCAAGGGTCGGATTTGGCTCAGAGGCCCCAAGATCTAGCAGTGTCCTTCCCACCCGTGCCCTCCACAGCGGGCACTCCCTTTCTAGCCTCTGTCAGAGGAGAAGGAACTCGTTTCCTTCTGGAGGCTGCAGGGAGGGGGTGTTTTGCACAGCCTGCTGGACCTCAGGGTGACACTGCAGCCTCCCCCTCGGCCACCAGCCAGCGTCCAGACCCCCTCTGGCCCAGATTGCTGCAGAACTCACTGCCCTTTGGATGAGTTTGATAAACAGCACTTCGAGAAGCACTGTGACACCCATAGGCCCCCCCAAACCTTCACATTCCTCAGAGCCCCTCATGGCATGACTCGTTTTATAATTTCACCCCCAAGACACCGCCTCACAACACATCCTTTATTTCCTGTTGCGTTATTAAATGTTTATTTGCTGGCTGGCCAGCCTATAATCCTTGCACTGGGGGGGGCGCAGGGGGTGGTGGAGGCTGTCAGGACCAGCCTGAACTCCATAGTAATGCCTATCTCAAAACAAAACAAAATACTAATGCACAAATAAATACCTTTCATTTGCCTGATGATTTAATGTCCATCTCCTCAGACTGTCGGCTCTTGGGACTTCTGCCCCGAAGGCAGATGCCAAATGAAGGTGTTGAGTGAGTGAACGAGAGATGGAAACGACGACAGCTGGAGAACAGACTCCGCTAGACTCCAGCTCCCACCCCGTGGTTCCACCCTCCAAGTGTGATACGTGCAGGGTGTCCTGCTTCCCACCCACAGGAAAGTGAGCCGTGTGAACAAGTACACAGCCTGGGAGTACAGGACAGGATGAATTCCCAGGAGAGGAAAGGGAGGGCCAGGTGCCTGACTTGGACTTTTGACTGGCAAGAGGTGGAGTCAGTTTCCCCCCTAACCTGGGCAGCCACGAGACTTGCAGCGGCCAGTGGCATGTCCGGAAAGTGACATCACACGAGTTCTAAACTGGGGTCTAAAAGGCCTCGCAGTGCCTCCTGTCTTCTTGCAATTGTGCCTCTGCCCTGAGAACTAGCATGAGTCAGATGCTGGTGGTCCAGAGAGAATGGGAGGAAAGGACAGTCATCCTTATTGAGCTATTTTAATCCAGGCTGGCCCAGATAACCTGCCAACTGACCAGATATGCAAAAATAGGGCCAGCAGAGACCAAAGAAGGGCACAGCTGAGGGGCCCAAATCAATTCCCTACAGAATTATAATCAAAAAGTCTGGCATGGTGGCACACATCTGTAATCCCAGCTGTAACTCAGGAGGCTGAGGCAGGAGGATTGCTGCAAGTTGGAGACCAGCCTGGGCTACAAAGAGCTCAAGGCCACCCTGAACCGCATAGAGAGACACGGAGTCTCAAAAAGATGGAAAAAACAGTGGTAATCCTTGCTTTCCTGGAGATCTTCCTGGATCCTTATCTTAAGATCTTCCTTCTTTTGGATACATGGTATGGGGGATCAAACCCAGGGATCTATGCACCCTCACAAGTCCTCTACCACTGAGCCACCCCCAAGTCCCCCTTTTTTCCTTGAGTTACTCCAGTGAATTTCTGTAGCTTGCAGCCCAAGAGGTTCAGGAAATTCAGGTGGCTTTCAGGGTTGTGGCGGGTAGATAGGGTGTTGGCTACTGGCAGGAGGAGAGGAAAGCAGTCCCTGAGGACTGAACAAGATGGGCACACCTGGCAGAAACTGATGATGGAACGGGAGAGTGGGGTCTTGGGGGAGCCCTCTGCGGGAGCTCATCCTCCTCCCAGAGCCCATATCCCTCTCTGCTTGCCCTGAGGTCACCTTGGGCTGAGAAGATGAGTGCCCACAGTTCAGCAGCATGTTTGTACTTTCAGTTGCCTGTCCTGCAGTGGCAAGAGGGACACAGCCATCATTACAGCCTGGATAATAATGTGAATGAGGTCCTGTGGTGAGGATCGATCTGACGGCACTGGTGTCCTTAGAAGACAACAAAGAAGCCAGGCGTGGTGGTGCACGCTTGTAATCTTAGCACTCTGGAAGGCTGGGGCAGGAGGACTGCAGGTTCAAGTCCAGCCTGGGCCACCAGGTGACTTAGCAAGACCCTGCCTCAAAATAGAAAATAAAAAAGGGCTAGGGACTGCTGGCCGGGGAGAACCCGCAAGGAAGCCTCCTCTGGCCCTGTCATAACACCTACCCACAAACAACGGATGTGACGCAGGCTGAGAAAATCATAAGGGAAGTAGAGAAGCAACTGACATTTGTGTGGTTTGAGTGATTGTGCAAGGCTGGGGCAGGAAGTCTGAGCATCTATTTAGTGGGTAACAATATGCAATATGGTAACTATTGTGGATTTCCTACTGTCCAGTGTTTTGTTTTGTTTCATTTTGCTGTTCTGTTTTATTCCCTTGGAAAAAAAAAAAAAAAAGACTAGAGAATGTATGAAACTCAATGCAGAGGCCCTGGGTTCCATCGCTGGTATGGGTCACAGATTAATTTAAACTAGCATTTGTAAGACTTCCTCCAGAACCAACAATTACATGGCCTAGGAGAGCACAAAATCACTGCAATAACCTCAGGTTAAGCTAGTTTATCTATGACCCACACTCCAGTACTGGAAAAATAAAAAGACATCATGACCCAAGGATGAGTCCACAGAAGACAGACAAATGATCCTGTCAGGACACCCTGGGCAGGAAGAGGCACAGGAGAGGCCAAACCTGCCCACACCTTGACTGTGGGCTCCCCGACTCTGGAACAGTGAGAAAATAAATTTCAGTTGTTTGAATGACCCCGTGTGTGGCATCTGTGATGGAAACCAGAGCATATGCATTCAGTGGTCACTGTCACATGGCTGAGGTCTCACTTGGCCTGCAGCTACATCCTTAGCCCCCAATTCCTTTTTAAAAATTTGAGACAGGGTCTCCCCAAGTTGCTAAGTTGCCCAGGCTGGGTTTGAACTTGCAGGCCTCTGCCTCAGCCTCCCAGGGTTGTGCTACCAGCATGTAGCCGAAGTCCCACAGCCAGTGGGTGGTAGAGCTGGGGTTCAAATAAAGTGGCCAGGTTTTGGGCCCTCACCCGCTCTGTCAGGCCCTTGTGGGTGAGGCTCCCAAGGTCTGGGGCAGCACACGGGGACCTGCTCCTCCTGCCTGTAGGCGGATTTCCAGGCCAGCCTGCTTCTCTCTCTTCACTTCTCTGGAATGAGATCTGGGAGTTGGGTTTTGTTTTTGTTTTTGTTTTTTTGATTTGTTGGTTGGTTTTTGCAGAGTCGCAGCTAGAACCCAGAGCCTGATACATGGCTAGACACAAGTTCTACCACTGACCACACTCCCAGACCTTTAGACCGCTCATTAGCTGTGGTCCTTGCCCAAGCGGCTGGGTTTTTCTGCACTGGAGTCGATTCATCTGGAGAGTGAGGACAGTGGAGCGCTGGCCTGGAGCTCTGGGCTTCCAGGCTTCTGAGTGCAGAGGCTTAGCAGGCTGCAGCTGCTGCCCCATGAGCAAGGTGATGCCTGGACTTCTGCTCCGTCCCTTCCAGCCGGTCCTCAAGGCCTCCCTGGCCTCTTCCAACCCACAGACCTCACTTCTCAATTCCCGGGCTCCATGTGAGAAGTCAGCTATAAGGATTCGGGAGCCTGGGGGGGACGACCCCAGGAGTCTATGATTCTCTTTCAACCTGATTGTCAGACAAAAGGTTTGGAGGTCCTGGCCTTGCGCTGAGGGCCCAGCTTTGTGTTCAGAGAGGGACACATCTGGAATTTGTCACCAGGTGACCTGGCAGGTGGTGCGAGCTGGAAACCACTGCCCAGGGCTGATGTTCAACCTCAAGGCACTGTTAGCAGTGTGGGAACTGCACCAAGGGCTTCCTAAAGGAGACAGGGCCTGGGCCTAGATTCTAAGAGCTGAGTTTAGATGCAAAAACCAAGGTAACAGCTGTGAGGGTGGGCCCAGCTGAGGAGCCTGCTACCCACAGGAATGCGTGGGGTGGGGTGATACCCAGCTGGTCAGATCACAAGGTAGGCGGTGGGGGCGGGGAGGCAAAACAATCAGTAGGATGTGGTAGGTGTTTAGAAGACAAAAAATGTTACAAGAAAGAGTGTACACAGAGGCTAGGCGCCTGTGCTATTAGGGGTTAATAATGGCTGAGTCACACAGCTTCTGGGAAAGTAAAGGCCAGCAGGAAAGGCTCTGCCTGTGCTGCATCCCCTGGCTGCACCCCTGCAAGCACCTCCGCAGAGGCTGAGTGTTTGTTTGATCCTCACAGCGCTTGGGGGAGGTCCGCAGCCTGCTTCTGTCCCTCCCGTTCCTCTTTCCTTCCTCAGGATGGGGAATGGGGGCTCTGGTTCCACACAGCTGGAGAACTGGGCCTTGTGCTTTGTGGGTTTAAATTTACCACGTGCGGGCTCTGTGTGCAGACAACTTTAACTCCCACAAAAGTGTCCTGTCTTTGTCCCTGGCTTGTGGGGAAGACACTGTCTCTCATGCATCTGTTAGCTGCAGGTAGGGATGTGGCCACAGCTGGTGTCTGGGCTGGGCGACGGCACCTCCAGCTAGATCTTACGGCTGTGCAGAGTTGGCCCCAGCCTCACCATGCTGGCCACCACCCATGACAGGCTACTACGCCACCTTCGGGCCCCTCCAGGGCCCCTCCGGGCCACCTCTGGGCCCTGTCCCCTGTCGCCATGATGTCACCTCCAGGCCTGCTTCCTCTTTACCAGTTAGTGTCAGCAGTGGGAGGGAACAGGCTGGGACAGGAGAGGAGACTCAGTCCTTCAAGCCTCTCTCCACCCTGAAACCCTCACCCGGAGAATGATGGGGATAAGAGAGTATGGCAGACCCCACCCCACCCAGCCACTCTGGCATCAAAGGCCAGGAATGAAGCCTGCTGAGGTCCTGGTTTTGTCATTGAGTCCTGTGACTGTCAGCTCTGAGCCTCGGCTTTTCTCTCTGTAAAATGACATTTATAACAGTGACAGGCCTAGTTGGGAGGGCCCTGGCATGAGAACCCAGAAACATGCCTGGCTCATGGTAGGTGCTCTAGGAAGGCCAAGCTACTAAAAGGGATCAGGAGAACGCTTCGGTGAAAGGGACAGCTGAAACGAGTTACTCACACCAGGCTTACAGGTAGTGCAAGCCATGCAGCTAGCCAAGCTCAGAAATATAAAAGCAAACCCGAGCTTAGGCAGAGTGTGCTACAGTGCTACAGTCGGTGGATGGCTCCTCCTACCTCCAGGCTGGGCTTGGAAGAAATTAAAATGCAGAGTAACTGGTTTCCTTTCAGTTAGGCCAGTTGAGAGATGGACTTTCTTTGAAACAAAACCCAAACCCCAGTTGGTTATTCTAAACCTACAGAACCACCCATGATGGGTGATGACTAGATCACTAAAATGTTCTCAACCTCTAATTATGTATAAAAGACCAGGATTGAAGAAAATACTGCAGGGCTTCTGGAAACCCTGGAACTATTTTTTTTTTTTTCCTTCCAATAAACACTTATCTTTTCTTTTTAAAAAATCTTTTCTGAGACAGGGTCTCATTGCACAAATCAGGCCGGCCTTGAGCTCACTTTGTAGCCCAGGCTGGTCTGGAACTCACAGTGATCCTCCCCACTCAGCCTCCCGAGTGCTGAGATCACAGGTGTGAGCCACCACACCTGGCCCTGCATGACTTCTTGTCCAAGATTTCATTCTTTAACTTCGTGAAACAATAAAGTCAGGTTTCTACAATTTGTACAAAATTAGCTGTTTCACTATTAAACTATTAATAATTTTTTTTTAATGATTTTGGAGGTAGAGACAGTGTAGTGAAATTGGTACAGAACTTCACAGCAGGTTACTGGGATAACAACAATAGGTATCACAGTATATCTCGTTATCATTACAATAGTTGTTCTCTCAATCACGTATAGCAAAATAAAATGAAATACAGAACATTATAGAACTTATCAAAACAGAATATTGAATGGAACAGTACCATTAATCAGAATAAAGCAAAACAGTAGTAAAAATATTTGCTTCAAAAAGATGGTAGAAGGAAATCCCCCTTATTTGCTATGGTCAACCTCCCAAGAGATGCTCAGATCTCTGGTTCCCATTTGCTAACGGAAAAAAAGGGGATGGGGTAGTGGGATGTTTGACTCTAGGCCGTGCAGCAGTAGGTTCACTATTGCTTAGCAGGGAGGCAGGCTGGTTGCTCGGTTTCCCAGCATCCTAAGTTCCAACATGGTGCGGATCTCAAGAGACACTGGTGGCTCTCCCCCTGGGGCTGCTGCGGCCTTAAGTAATAAACTATTAAATAAAGCTGAAGGTGTCCTGGAGACATGATAGAATAAGGATCTTTCTCATACCACTGTGTCCTGATGATATCACCTGATTCTGGAAGGATAAACCATAAAACTCCTTTTCTCTCACCCTTCAGGCTCCAGGCCAATTCTTTCTTTCTGGAGTTAATAATTTTATCCTTTGGTTCCGGGAATGTGGCTTAGTGGGAGAGTGAGTGGTTAGCATGCAGGAGGCTCTGGGTAGGATCCCAGGCACTGGGAAAAAATAATATAATGCTCTATCTACTAGCTGGTGTTTATTGTATGCCAGACTCAGCACTTGCCTTTTGTAACTGTTGCCTAGCGGAATCCTCCTAGCAACCAGGGTAGATAGGTCTGGTCATCTATTTTGCAGTGGTTATCGAGGCTTCATAACTTGCCTGACATCAGTTATGCAAAGTGGCCTCCTGGCAGGCCTTGGAGGAATCCACCTCAGCCCTTGTACTTTCCGCCTCCTTTCTGTGAAGTCACACACGAAGCATCTCACGGCTAACTGCACTTCAGGATTCTAGTCTCACATTGTTACCTGGCGCTCAGGTCCACAGTACTGGCTGTTCCCCAAGGAGCACAAGAAGCATGGTGGAAAGAAAGTGCTTATTCAACACTAGCTCAGAAGGAGATGGAGGGGCCTGTGATTGCCTCGTTCAGGTGTGAAAGGGGTTTTATTGCAAGTCAGAGAAAGAGAAAGAGAGAAAGAGGGAGAGACAATGAGAGGGAGAGATCCAAGGGGACAATGGATAAGGAGATTCCCATGCTTATTTTATACCCTTGGCATTCTTGGCTTCTGTCTCTTGCAGAAATGAAGCCAGAGAGCTCTACCTGCAGCTCTTGCTGCGGATCCTGCTAGGAATGCCTGTTAGTTTCCTGGGAAAAGAGTTACTGTTCTGTCCGTTTGTCTGAGCAGAGGACAGGAGATTGGTAGCTGTTTTACACCCTCAGCATGAGGAAGTTGGAGGAGCAGCGACCCTCTAAAAGAGAAAAATATAATAATTGTTAAAGAGCCAAAGCAGATAGCACCCCTTGTAAGAGGTCTTCCCAAACCCCGCCCCCTGCTAGCAACATGCACTGATTTTACCTTTATCATCACTATGTGAAATTATTTATTTCTTTGTCTGTTTGTTTATTGTCTGTCTCCCTCTCCCCACTCACACCTCCCTGACCCAGGAGGGTAAGCATTTTGTATGGTTCACAGCCGTGCATACCATAGATGCTCAATATTTGCTTTTTTTTTTTTAAGCAAACACATGAATAATGAGTGAGTTCATGAAATGGAAGAGGTAACATTTCAATTAAGGGTCTGTGTGGTCTTCTGTCTTCCACAGAGAGGTTCAGGTTCTACCCAAGGACAAAGCTGCACCCATGAGCCTTTTGTGGAAGTCATTTTCAGATGACTTGGTTACTTATTAGCATATTACAAACTGCATTTTATGGTCAGAGAGCCTCAACTTGTGTGATCAGCTGGGCCAGGGGCCTACAGACTGTTCATAAGTGATTGCAGTACAGTTGACAACATTATGTGCTGTAATCCTAGCAGTCTCGAGGCTGAGGCAAGGGGATCGTTTTGAGTTTCTGACCAGCCTGGGTTACAAAGTGAGCTCAAGACCAGCCTGAACTGCACAGTGACATCCTGTCTTTAAAAGACAAAAAAAAGTTATATGGATGAGGACTTGCTTTTCTGCTTATCCACATACCTCTCTTTGATCTAGATAACAGCACTGGAGTGGCCTTAGAAAAACTCCTGTCCTCTGGGATTCAGGGAGGTGAGGGGCAAAGACTGGCCAATCAGAACACTTCTTTCCACCACTACAGTAATTGGTTGAGGGCTGGACATGTGACCCAAACCCAGCCAATCAAACCACCTGAAATCTACACCACAGTAATGGCTTGAGAATTGGGCATAAAAAAACTATCTTAAGGCTTTTACTGGGATTCTGGAGAATAACACATTTTCATTATTCTTTTGGATTTGTTACACTTGAGGGATATTAGTGTGGAGCTGCTGGGACTCATCTTTCTACTAGGAGAGACTGCCCAGCAATGAGCCCAACATGTGGAGACGCAACAGTCGAGATTTCTGACGATACCATTTAAACACCTGAGCCAGTCTCAGCTGGTGTTAGAGTTTTCTGGTGCAATAGAGAAGCGAAAGGTAAAAAAAGAACCATTTATCTTTATTGAGATAAAGAAAAAAACATTTATTGAGGACATGGAAAGGAGCACACAATCCATGGCGGCTGAGCTATCTTCTTTGACCACACATAGTGGCATGGGGTATATGTGACCTTTGAGCAGATGTGGCACAGGATGCCTGAGGAGCTGATTGGAATTTTCTGCATGTGCACAGGGAAAGGAAGAAAGACGCTGTAATGGGGAAGAAGGAGTGAAAGAATTTTAGGCGTGATAAAAGAGAATATAAAGTAAAAATAGTCTTTATTCCAAAGAAGTGAAGAGGAGACCAGGACCACCAGTGGCCTGGCTTTCTCTGCTAGAACGTGGGCCACGGAATTGCATATAACCTCTGACAGGGGTGGCTCTTAGGGTGAGCATTGATGACATGTGAGGAGCTGACTGGAATTTTCTGTGCAGACAAACAGGAAGGGGAGGTGCAATTAAGGCTGAGGAAGAAGCAGGAAGGGGTAGGCGTTCCTGCTTGGCCTTCTGCCATGTTAGACCATGTTTCTACTGAGACAAAGAACCTTTCATTCCCATCTTTGTATTGTTAGGAAAAGGGCCAAGTCTCTCTATTACTACTTCCTGCTGAAAGGAGGGGGCGCCGTATTTGGATTCAGGAAGAGTTGATGGGATGATGGTTGATGCCCATGTAGAAGCTGGTGCCAGGTGTTTCAGCCAGGACAACTTTATCATTGGTGAATGCTGGCATCTTAGACTAGAAAACAAAGAGACAAGGTGCCATGAGGAAGCAGGCCACTATCATATTTAAGGATCCAGGTGAGGTAGAAGGAAAGGTGCCTTTGATTTAGATATGTCATTTTATCAGGACTACGGTGAGGTGGAATCATTATCACGGTGAGGTAGAATTCTAAAAACTAAGTGTGGGGTTAGGAGGAGTGAAGTTATGAGGGGTAATTATTCCTCCATCTAAAAGGGTAAGAGTTAAGAGTGTAGGTAGGTAGGGCTTGTCTCTGGTCCAGGAGCTGAGCTGGAAAGAATGAGAGAGTGGGGATGGCCATGGCTGTGTCACTATAGGGAAGGTAAGAGCCTAGACCTTCAGGGATGTCATGTTTGACCAAACAGCTGAGGGTAGAGAGAACTAAGACAGTTGTCACATAGAACAATATGAAGATGATCTTACACATGATGTGGGAGTCTTTAGGAAAAACTGTTGAGAGTCCTGCTGAAAAAAGGTAATTAATAGAATGTAAGGAATTAGGAACTAAATTGGATAATAAAACATGACTTAGTCTGAGAGTTGTGGCTGTGAGGCCTTCGTGAGACGGAGATGGGTGGGCGATAGAAGATGAGATGATCACTCAGGATGGTTAGATTCAGGGCTGGGAGGGCACTGCTTAGCTTGAGTGATGTGTAATCAGGATGGCAGTCCAGCGACCTTGACCACTGTTGAAGTTCTGATGAAGACCAGGTAGGGACCACTCCATTTTAGTTGTAGTCCTTGGGATGATTTTTGTAACAAGACTTTATTAAGTCTCCCTGGTTGTGGGAAAGGCTTTTATCCATCCTGAAAAAGTACAAACAAAGGTGAGAAGATATTTGAGAGTTTTGTGACAGGGCATGTGTGTAATATCTATCTGGAAAGGAAGGGGGTGCCACATGTCCCTGAGGAGAGGTTTTACTATAGAGATGACAGATGTGAGCTGTTGAGACCTCAGAGTGTCTGGGTCAGTCTGCATAAACACAAAGGAATAAAAAAAGGCATTTTAAAGATCTATGACTGTAAAATGAGTGTTGGAGGGAGGGAGGGATGTGAGAGAGCATGGTATAAGGGTTTGGCACCACTGGGTGGATTGGAATAATGTCACTATTGATTACCCCAAGGTCCTGCACTAGACAATAAGAGCTACCAGGCTTGAATACTGGGAGCATTATAAGCTGAATGGGTAGGTTTAAGAAAATCATTGTCTGAAAGGCACTTAATTGTAGTTTTAAATCCTTGTAAATGTTTGGGAGCTATAGGTTATTGGGGAACACAAGGAAAAATTGAAGAATCCCTGAGATGAATTAAAATAGGCATGGTATGGGGTTGGAGGTATCTCAAACTATGGGATCAATCAGAGAAGAAGCAAGTCTGGGGCCTGTATGAAATAAGCCTTGTCTGGAAAGGCTGCATAGGTTGGCCATCAACACCCATTATAGAGACTGAGGACTTAATATAGTGGCCTGAAAACTCAGGAAGAACACTATACATGGCCTCTATGTCCACAAGTAGAGAGAATGTCATACCTGAGACTTCCAGTGGGACTTGGGCCTCTGAGAAGGACGCCTTAATGGGGGGCTGTGAGCTCTGAGCCCCATCAATCTTCAGCAGCAAGTCCGAGATCAGTCAATGATGAATCTGGTGGTGATGGAGTTTCCTGTAAGGGCAAGAAGTTAGAGGATGGCTTACCCGCACCCTGGCAACTAGGACAGTCACTCTTCCAATGGCCCTTGAGATTGCAGAGGGGACATTCTCTTGCCCAGTGTCCTTCCTTGTCACACTTGAAGCATGGTGCAGGAGGGTTTCTGGCAGCTCTGCTTTGCTTTGGTTTACCTGTCTTAGAGCTCCAAGCGCCTCTGCTAAATGATCAGATTGCTATTTTTCCTCCTTTTAAGTTTTATCTCTGTTGTTGAAAACATGAAAAACCATATTAAGAAGGTCTCCCTGTGGGGTTTGAAGGAAAAATTTAGCTGTTTGCCTGGGATCTGGCCCACAGAGGGAGGTATCTGTTTCTTCCAAGGTCACAAGATACTTGGTCCTCTGTGCTGGCACCTGTCTGACTGCCTGCAATGTTTTTAACTGACTCAGCTGCCTGTAACTTTTTTTCCTCTGAAGAAGTAACCTGAACTTCCATGAGGGGAATGGCTGATGACCAATGTGGCTTTTTTTAGGCTAAAGGGGGAAAAGTTGTTGAATGGCAGTTAGGGATACTCTGCAGAGCTTTTAACTAGTGACTCTCAGTAGATAGCAGGCATTTTTATTTTGGGTAGGTGTACAGCTTTAAGTCTAGAAGAGACAAAGGCAAAGAATCAATTATGTATGCAAGGACCAAATGATAGAATCAACAGGATAATTATGAGTATACTTTTAGTAATGGTTTCCCATAAGGAGGCTAAGGATAAGGTCCAGGGATTTTAGAAACTGACATGTCATTCATTTGTCATTAATTTTTGCAGTTGCGTAGTACCTCCTGTGCTGTTAGAATGTCTAATGCCACCTGATTTTAATAAAACAGGGTGGCCTGTTTTATTAATTTCCCCTTTTTTATTTAAGAGAGAGATCAGCTGTGATGTCATTTATGACCAGTTGAGTAAGGTTATCTATAGCCTCAAATGAGTCATATAACCTTTTTCTGGAAAAGATCTGGTGGATCACAGTAAAAAACATCTAAAAGGAATTTATAATTATGTCTAAATGTTAGTTGTTGAACATCCAGAAGAAAAGATTGATAACAGTACAGTGTAGTAGAGGCAGAAAGCCTAACATAGAACATTAAATGGAACCGCTATTTTCTGTTAACCATGGGTATTTAACATTGGAGATGACATTTTGTAACACATTCCTTTAATAGGATGTCACTAAAGAAATTTATGAATTGTTTGGACTGCTCAATATTTAAGCATCTCTTAAGTATAGTGCCACATATATAACATATGTATTACATAAAATTTTGTTTAAAAATTATCATTTGGTGATCTCATGTTGGTTTGACTTGAATCTCTTGGCTGATACACAAAAAAAAGGCAGATGTCTGGATCTGAAAGAAAATATTTATCATCATAAATTAACCAGTTTTACATTTGAAGGCACTAATACCATCAGATCAGCAACAATGAATTGTCTTAGCCATGTGAACTTTAGCTGGGGCGTCTCCCATAAGGCTATGGAAATTATTGGGGCCTCTGATTAATTAATAAGAACTGGTTAGAGTTCCAGGCAGCCACCTTCTTACCCATCAATACAAGTCCTGTCTAAGCTATCCTCATCTCAAGGGATTTTGTTTAACTGGTTTTAGCATCATTTTGCCCAACTGGGAAGTATACTTCTTAAATCTATAATCCAAATAAACCTTGATTATATGATCTGAAAATGCAGAAGAAAAAGGAAAAGAGAAAAGATTGTTGAACTCAAATAAAAAGGAACAGCAGTTTACAGAGCAGAAAATGGACAAACATGGATAGGTGATCTGTATAGTACAAACAGACTAGACAAACAGACAACAGATACACAGACAGACTGACAGACATCTTACAAAATCAGAGCGCACTCAAATATATTTGGCCAATTTAAACTATAATAAATAAACTAGTGTGAACCTTTTTATAAGTCAATTAATGGAGATCTCTTGAAATAAGAATAGCAGATCCAGGGTCATTTTCAGTAGGATGTGCTTTATGTCTACGATCCACTTCCTCTCAAGCTGCTTGCCATAGCTGAGCCCGCCCTTGTGAGCTGAGGGTGGTGTTCAGAATCACATAAACAGCCTTGAAATGTAAATCATCACAGTTGTAAATTTAAATTTTCTAATATAATTTTGTGGGTAAATTATAACAGTTATAAATTTAAATTTCCTAATATAACTTTGTGGTCAACCTAATTTATGGTTAATCTGAGATAGTTCTGCAAGGAAAAAAGGAATGTGAATATGAACTGTTCCCTCAGGACCAGCCTCTTCCCTAAGGAGGAAAGGGATTGAGGCTGAGAAGGCTGTGGAGTGGGAGGTGTACATGGCCACCAAGCAGCCAACTGCCCAGTAGGCATCTGTGGGCAATTACAGGGTGATTGACCATAAAATGGCCACTCGTTACTGTGACAGGGAAGCACAAGATTGTGACTGGTTACCACGAGACCCGTAAGATCACCGCAGCTGAACACATGCTGAAGGACTACAAGATGGCGCCTGTCCTCCATGTGAGCTGCAGCAAGATGGCTGCTGGGGACCGCGGTGCATGGGACAGCAAGATGGCGGTTGAGCACCGTGCTGTCTGCTAGGCAGCTGAAACATGTGAGACCAAGTACGGTGAGCCAGCGGGGAGAGGCGACACAGGAGTAGCGGGGAGAGAGGAAGTGGGGCCGTCTGATGGGTTAGATGGCTCAAGTTGAGGGGTTTGGACTTGGGGAGTTGGGGGGGGGAGCAGTAAAGACAGGAGCCTCATTATCTGAGGGGTCCTGTGGGGAAGGAGAGAGATCCTGGAGGAGCAGAGCGAGCCAGAAGTACTCGGGCCATCACAGAAGACAGAGTGAGAGAAAGACACATCCTTAAAGTGAAAAAGGCCTAAAGATGAAGGGTTCCTGCCACTGTGACAAAAGCATGAATGAAAGATCAGCTTTTTGGGTTTATAGCCTTCTAGAGGCCAAGAGCACCAAGGTTATGAATCAGGTGCCCCAGAGATGTGTTTTGTGGGGGACAGAAATGGTGTTCCCCACAGTGCCCGAGTTAGAGGTGAGCCAAGTGACCAACTTTGCCTCGGGACGTAAGGGCTTTAGCTCTATCCTGGGTCAGACTTACCAAAAGAGATCGTCACCTGCTTTGAAAGTGTGACAAGGAAGGTCCCAATATCCATGCTCATCAGCCATCACCAACAGTGCAGGGTGGGGTCCAGAGGACAAGAGGGTAACACTTCTGCCTCCAGCTGCCTTGCACTAGGAACAGCAGAACTGCTCTCTGCGTCCAGGGATGGTAACAGATAGGTTTTCTAATGTGAGCTCACAATTTTTTTTTTTTTTTTGTCTTTTTTGAGATAGGGTCTCCCTATGCAGTTCAGGCTGGCCTTGAGCTCACTTTGTAGCCCAGGCTGGTCTCAAACTCACAAGGATCCTCCCACCTCAGCCTTCCAACTGCTGGGATTACAGGCGTGAGCCACCACGCCCGGCTAGAGCTCACAAATTTTTTAAGGCTAGGAAGATGAGATAGGGCACCTGTGACAAATGAGGTGACTCAGTGTTGGACACAGGCTAGTAGCCCCACAGGAAGGAAAAGTGTTTTGTAGGCAGTGGAGCTCAGACGGGGAGTCAATCTCAGGAGCCACGCATTCTGCAATCCAAGTCACCAGGCACCAGAATGTTAGAGTTTTCTGGCGCAGTAGAGAAGCAAAAAGTAAAAAAAGAACCTGTTTATGGAGGACGTTAAAAGGAGTGCACACAACCCATGGGGACTGTTCTATCTTCTTTGCCCACACATAGAGAGGTGGGGGTATATGTGACCTTTGACTGGATGTCGCACTTGGGGTGGGCATTTATGATGCGCAAGGAGCTGATTGGAATTTTCTTCACGTGTGCAGGTAAGGAAGGAGGAACTTGTAATGGGGGAAGAAGGAGGACGTGGCCCTCAGGGTAAGTATTCCTGATTTGGCCTTCCACCATGTTAGACCACCACCATAATGTCCTGTAATTTATTCTAGGGCAAAACTCTTTCAGTTGGGATTTAATTACTTGCATCCCAAAGAATATTGATTTGAAAGGAAAAATGAAGAATAATGGTGTGTGTGTGTGTGTATGTGTGCGTGAGTACTTTAAACAGGAACTTGTTGTGTAGTTCAGGCTGGCCTTGAAGTAACTGTGTAGCCCAGACTGCCCTCAAACTCAAGGCAGTCTTCCTGCTTCAGCCCCCTGAGTGCTGGGGCTATAGGCTCGCACCACCACACCCAGGAAGAAGAACTATGTTTGCAGAGGATGTGACTCACATGTAGCAGAGACTAAGGCTGGGAGAAGGAAGGTTAATCTGCTTCCGGCAGGAAGAGAAGGATGGAGCAGGTTTCTGAATGCTGCAGAATCCATCCAGGTCAGGCACTAAAGACTGCCTGACTTCTGGTTGCAAAAAACCCTGTTGCTATCTTGGGATGACTGCAGCTCCCCTATCGGGTTCAGTCCTAGATCCACGATGTCCCAAATGAGTGTATGGTGGAGGTTAAATAAAAAGAGACAAATTGTATGATTTTTAGAGCTCCAGGAGGGTCAAAACCCTTTAATTAAGCTCGAGGCTTTGAAGGTAAAGACAAAGGATTCTTCAGATCAGTCCACTTACATTAGGAATAAGGACAAAGGGTGGAGAAACTGAGGAAAGTTCAAGCAATGAGCAGGACCTTGGGAGTCACCTCACGGATGTCTGCAAGTCATGAATCAAGTCAGTTCAGCAGCACTGTCTTATCATGAAGACATGGTAGAAGTGAGACTGTAGAGTAATCTTTGCAGCTGCAGTCTCTACCTAGTTAATTGGGGTTGGAGCCAGTGCCGCAGCTGTGGCCTTATCTTGCCCTTTGAGGTATTTCTGGCCTCACAGCTGCTACAGGCCTCAGCCAGGACCAGTGATTTATAGAGGTTCACTTACTATGAATCAGCTTCCGTTGCCAGGCTAGGGGCGTAGGCCTAGGACAGACTCACAGATAAACATAGAAAGCCAATTAGTAAAATTTAAATCCTGCTCAGAGCCCCTTCTTAGTGGTCTCCAACATCTCCCCCACTAAAATAATCTGCCTGGGCAACCCAAATGTATCACAGAACTATGGTATCCTTTCTTCTTCGGGGGACAAGGAGGCTACTAAAAAAGGGCTTATAATCATGGATCCTTCCCTTTCCCTTTCAGATGTACTATCTGTCTCTGCTACCCAGGAGCACCATGCCCCCACCCAGTTTTTAGGTTTTGTTTTTGCAGCTCTGCTTCTGCTAGGTAAGCACCTCTACCACTGAGCTCCACACCTCCCCGCCCTTGCATGCCATTCCCTGGAAATAAGTCATCAGGAA